CTGACTCCAGACATAGTCCTCAGACCACCAGCACTGGCTTCAGAAATGCAGAATCTCTGGTTCTTCCCTGGACCTAACAAATCAGGGTTTGCATTTAAATAGGCCCATAGGTGATTCCTGGAGTCCTAGTATGGCACTGTAGGATAAGTACTGTTCTGATAACCACAAGGTCAGTGGTTCAAATCATCAGCCACTGTTTGGAAACCCTACACAGGGTTGAATGAGTCAGAACTGACTTGAAGGCACTTAACAACAAACAACATAGGTGATTCTTAGGTACATTCAAGTTTAAGGAGCGCTGGTCTGGACTGCTTTTTCAAGGAGTTTGGCGATGATAGGTAAGAGATGAACGAAAGCCTGAGGAGAGTGAGAGATTGGAATATAAGAAAGAGACAATCCTAAGGGAGAAAGACTTGGTGGAGAGGGAAAGAGGTCAAGAGAACTGATGAACCTGGGAAATCAGGTTGAGAAAGATGGGAAAAGAATAGGAGAGGCAGATAATTGAGGAATCTTTCAGGAAGATGGCCTATTTGTTCCCAATAAGATTGATGTCAAGGTCAAATACTGAGAAGGAGAAAGAGAGGTGTGGCGCTATAGGATATACCCTGGGCTGCAAGGTCAGTGGTTCAAACCCACCAGCTGCTCCTCGGAAACCCTTTAAGAGTCACTATGATTTGGAACTGTCTCGATGGCACTTAACAACAACACTCGATAGTTTAGAAACTCCTCTCTTTACCTCACGGGGTTCTAGTTTAAATGACTTTTTACTTCTGGTTAATATTTCTTTGCCTTTTATTCCTGTAAGTTCTTTAAACAAGTTGATATCAATATATAAAAATATTAAGAAATTTAATGAATATTTGCAAGGAAACTGCTGCATTTCTGCAGGTAGCTTGATGAGTATAGTAACTGAGTCATGAATTTCACTGAGGCCATCATGGTATAGCTTGCTGACAAGACGATTGCAAAAAACATAATCAAACTTGAAAAAACAGCAACAATTTTCAAATCTCTACCTAGTTTTTATTTCTGCAAAGTTTGTGAAATCAATAAGGTGATCTGAAAAGTTCATCACACATATTAGTGATTTGCTTCATTGGTTTTCTGATGACCATTTATCATGCAGGCTAGCATTTTCAGAGTGAGTGGTGGAAATCAAACACTGGATGGACTTAGCTCTTATATAAACTAAGGATTTGATTTCTGAGACACAAATGAACAAACCACTATGGCCTGTCATGTTTTCCCAGTTTCTAATTTATTCAACCTCTGTTCAATATTGACCCTGACAAGCAGAGTGTCCCAAAGATAAATTTATTCACTCCACAGTTTAGTCAGGAACAAGCCAAAAAGTATAGATTTTCCCAGGCAGATGATGACAGGTAGTCAGGGGGATGACAAATGGCTGTCTTTAGATGTAGTTAGGACAGTTGGGCCAGACGTTTCCAATAAAGATTGGAGCGTGCTGGTCAAATAGAGCTTCATCAGTGGTCATCATTAATTGTGAAGAAGCCCTTGCCAGTACTGTGGATCCTGCAAAGTCACTTAGGCACCAGGCTTGCATGGGAAAGAGCGTCGGCTCCTCAGTATTTTGCAACACTCCTCTAAGTGATAGCATGACATGATCATTTATCAAACAGAGACGGTCCAGAAAAGTGTTTGGTCCCTTTAGTATAACTTATTGATGGGCACGGAAGTGAAAGCATTTTATTAAAGACAGGAAGGCAATGAGCAACCAGAGCGTATCCAAAGGGTAATCGTATTTCAGCACAGGGTTAGTTTAGTCTTAAATAAACATACACTGGAGGGAGTATGTAGAGGGTCATTTATCAAGTAAGGAACAATGAAAAACACTTTATAGGACTCTTTACAACAATAACAACATAGGACTCTTGATAACAATTTAAAGTTCTCTTATTGTTTTTGTTATTTAACACTGAGATCACAAGCGTTACATTGAACACTATATACAAATGTAATGTACAGTTTCTTCCTTCAAGGCTTTTGTTGTTGTTGTTAAGTGTCGTCTAGTTGATTCTGACTCACAGCTACCCTGTATAGGGTTTCCAAGCCTGTACATCTTTGTGGTGGCGGAAAACCTCATCCTTCTCCCACTGAACACTGGTGGATTTAAACTGTGGACCAGTGCTTATCCCCTAGAGATACAGTGGATTTCTCACATAAATGAAATAATTGTCTGCTGTTGTACCAATGCAGAGAGGATATGATTCCAGGCTCAGAATTGGGGGCTGAAGTTTATCATGGGGAAGAGAGCTTTCATGTAAGAAGGCAATGGCTTGTTTTTCAGTGGGTCAGAAGCTTAGTCTTCCTGATTTACAACAATTTTTGTCCTTTATTAACCAAAATTAGAGAAAGGGAATAACTAAGGGGTGGCAAGGTAGGCAGAGAGGCAGAGAACATATTACTTATCTGCTTTGTTTCAGGCACTTTATATGCTGTGGCATCCAACCGGGATTATCCTCACACTGAGACTTAGAAAGCTTAAGTGACTAGCCTACGTCCCACAGAAAGCAGCAGTGCCAGGACGTTTGGATTATCTGTATTTTTTACAAAAATAATTATATTTATATTTTCATATAAATTATTTCCTTAAATCTCCCAGAGCTCAGCACATACTTATGATTCAGTAATGGGCTCAGCAAAATTGGAAATACTTTGACCACTTTATGGAAAAAGAGGTTGGTCTCTAGAAGGTAAAGGGAACTATGAAGTGCTGTGCAGGGTGTCCTAGACACCCACTTGTCTTTGTTACTGTACCCCAAAGGTAGAGTTCCATTGTACAGATGTGGCACATAACTGGAGGTTCCGATTTTGTTACCTCTGTGTTTATAATAGTTTTGCAGAAATTTTTAATGTATGGGAAGGAAACTGCTGTCAAAACTTCAGAGTAAAAAAAAAAAAAATGCTTTTTTCAAATCTAAAGTGTAAATGCATGTAACCATGGCAATGAAACAATATATGATAGGATGACTATAAAGTTAATGTTCTCCCATGGAAACTATCACATAATTCACATTAAAACATTTTTATAAAGTATAAATGCAATCTCATTTATCAGAAAAAATTTCAAAAACTGGAAAAATGAAATACCTAAGTCATTGTTGTTGTTGTTATGTGCCATCAAGTCGGTACCGACCCATAGCAACCTTATTCACAGCAAAACGAAACACTGCCCGATTCTTGGCCAACCTCACTACTGTTGCTACGCTTGAGTCCATCGATGCTACCACTTGGACAATCCATCTCATTGGAGGTCTTCCTCTTTTTCTCTGACCCTCCACCTTACCAAGCATGATATCCTTCTCCAGTGACTGGTCCCTTCTGACAATATGGCTGAAGTATGAGAGATGAAGTTTGGCCATCTTGGCCTCTAAGGAGCACTCTGGCTGCACTTCTTCCAACATGATCTATTTGTTCTTTGGGCAGCCATGGCACTTTCAATATTCTCCTCCAACACCATAACTCAAAAGCATCAATTCTTCGCTGTCCAGCTTTCGCATGCATATGAGGTTACTGAAAATACTATGGCTTCGGTCAGGCGCACCTTAGTCCTCAAGCTGACATCTTTGCTCTTCAACACTTTAAAAAGTTCCTGTGCAGCAGATTTGCCCAATGCAATACGTCGTCTGATCTCTTGACTGCTGCTTCCATGAGTGTTGATAGTTGATCCAAGAAGAATGAAGTCCCTGACAACTTCAATCTTTTCTCCGTTGATAAGAATGTTGTTTATTGGTCCAGTGGTGAGGATTTTTGTTTTCTTGACATTGAGATGTAATCCATACCCAAGGCTGTGCTCTTTGATCTTCATCAGTAGATGTTTTAAGTCCTCTTCACTTTCAGCAAGCAAGGTGGTATCATCTGCATATCGCAGGTTGTTAATGAATCTTCCTCCAATCCTGACGCCACGTTTTTCTTCATAGAAGCCAGCTTCTCGTATTATTTGCACAGTATACAGCTTGAATAACTATGGTGAAAGAATACAATCTTGTCGCACACCTTTCTTAATTTTAAATCATTCAGTATTCCCATGTTCTATTCGAACAACTGCTTCTTGGTCCAGGTACACATTCCTCTTGAGCACAATTAAGTGTTCTGGAATACTCATACTTCTCAATGTTGTCCATAGCTTGTCATGATCCACACAATTGAAAGCCTTTGCGTAGTCAATAAAGCACAGGTAAACATCTTTCTGATATTCTCTGCTTTCAGCCAAGATCCATCGGACATCAGCAGTGATATCCCTCATTCCACGGCCTCTTCTAAATCTTTACGGGAGCAGAAAGCCTCATCTTTCTCCTGAAGAACAGCTGGTAGTTTCGAACTGCTGTCCTTGAGGTTCGCAGCCCAATTCATAACTACTACGCTACCTCTCTGGTCTAGTTTTATCAAATAGGATCGCTAAGAGTCAGAATTGACTCGATGGCACACAACAATAATCAGCATAGTCCCTGAATAGTGCAAATGGTTAATTTTCCTGCTAACTGAAAGGTTAGAAGTTCAAGACCAACCTGAGGAACCTTGGAAGAAAGCCCTAGTGGCTTACATCTGAAAAATCAGCAGTTTAAAATCCTGTGGAGTACAATTCTCTACTGTGACACCCATGAGGTCAGTCTGGGTCAGTGTTGACTCCACAGCAACTGGAAAATTAGCAGTGTGAATCATATTCTCTAAAAAAAATAATAATAATTTTTGTGCACCTTTAGAGTATCTGGTACAGAGGTAGAACTCCATGAAAAGCAGTAATGACATTTAAATACAGCTAACTGGAGTCCTGGTGTGGTACTGTGGGCTAATGCGTCAGACTGCAAAGTCATTGAACTGCAAGGTCAGTGGTTCAAGCTCACCAGCTGCTCCTTGGAAGTCCTATACAGGGTCACTATGAGTCGGAATTGACTCAATGGCACTTAACAACAACAACTGGAATGCTAGTAATACTGATGATTATGAAATATTTATGTCTTTTTCTTCTGTAAATATAGGATTTGGAATTTTTGTTGAGCAAATTGATGAAGCTGTGGAAAATGGATCTAAGTGGAAATCCTGTTTGTCTCAAACCAAAATACAGAGACAGACTGATTTTGGTGTCCAAATCACTGGGTATGCGTTTATACTATATTAATATCATTTTCTTAGAAAAAGAAACCTGATTCACATTTTTCATTACTATATCAGCTAGCCTCCAGAAATATTTTTAAAAATGACATCTGTATCTATAAAGATGGTCAACTTTAAATGTGATACTTTGAATAAGAGCAAAAGTTAAAATTGAGAAATAAAGCATAAAAAAATCTTACTCTTCAGAGTAGTTAAAGTACCAGATACTCTTTCTTTGAAAGTAAAGTGTGACTGTTGCCACTAATAATTGCTAGTCATAACATGTAAAACGAACATAAATGTGACATCATCCCCCGCTTTCATTGGTACAAATCCTTTGACAATCCCAAGAGACTCCTTAGTTCTTGGTCATATAACAAAAATTGATCAAGGTTTTCACTATGTTATTGATTGAATTGTGCCCCCCATAACCTCTTTGCCTGTGGTTATAACCTTATTGGGGGATGAGTTATATTTGTTATGTTAATGAAATGATATCGGTATAGATTTATCTTGAGTAAATATCTTTTGAGATATAAAAGAGACTAAACACAAGCTAGCAAGCAGAGATGGGGAAAGAGATAGTTAAGCCACGTGAAGATCACCCAGGAGCAGAACTTCTGAACTTCCTCCAGCAGAACTTCCTCCAGCACCAACCAAGAAAGAAAGTCTTTCCCTAGAACTTAGACATCTAGCCTTTTAAACAGTGATAAAATGTATTTCTGTTTGTTAAAGCCATCTTCTGACAGCATTTCTGTTACATTGTTGTTGTTGTTAAGTGCTGTTCAGTCGATTCCAATCCATAGCAACCCTGTGTAAGGTTTCCAAGGAGTGGCTAGAAAGCTTGAACGCCACCAACCTTGCAGTTCAAACCAATTTTGCAGTCCAGCCCATTAACCCACAGCACAACACCATAACGAAGTCAGATTTTGGTACTGGAAGAGTGGGGTGCAGCTCTAACAAACACCTAAAATGTGGAAGTGATTTAGGAATTGGGAGAGGGGTAGAGTAGCGTAGTGGTTACGAATCGGGCTGCTAACCTCAGGGTCAGCAGTTCAAAACTACCAGTTGTTCTGTGGGAGAAAGATGAGGCTTTCTGCTCCCGTAAAGATTTACAGCCTCAAGCCCTATATATGAGTTGGAACCAACTCCACAGCACATAACAACAATGTAAAAACCTAGATTGCCTTGAAAAGACTGTTGGTAGAATGATGGCTGTCAAAGGCAATTTTGGTGAGGGCTCAGAAGGAAGTGAGGAGGGCTGTAACAGAAGTCTCTAACATGTTAGAGCATGCATTTGACAGTTATCAACAGAATGTTGCTTAAAATGTGGATGCTAAACGTTCTTCTGGTAAGACTTCAAAAGAAATTGATGCAGTGGCAAAGAATTTGTCGGAATTGTGTTCAAATGTTTGATGGAAGGTAGAACTTTAAGCGAACTTGGATGTGTAACTGAGGAAATTATTAAACAAAATCTTAAAGGGTTCACATGGTTTCTCCTTGTTTCTTATGTGGGAGAGAAGAGTTGGATTTTAAAATTAACTGCAAAATGAAAAACAAAGCTTAAAGATATAGAAAATTCTATCGTACAAACTCAAGACATGTGTCCTAGAGTTTCCACCAAGGATGAGGCTACTCAAGCTTTTGTTAAAGCTTGTTAAATTATCACAGCAAAAAGCCCATCAATGTAGACTGAAGGGGTCAAAGAACAAAACAAAAGAAAACTGTCTGCCTTTTGGAATTCTATAGGCAGGAAACAGGCCAAAGGAGTTATATCTGTTATACTCCAAGTAAAAGAAAGGACCATTCCTGGAGCCAAACGGAGATCAGCAGAACTGTTGGAAAGAGCATGGGAAGCAGGTTCTTCCTGGTTTCAATGGGTGGATACACAGCCTCCTTGATTTCAGAGTCAGCTCTTCACCAACATAGTTCTGGAGTGTAGATCTGCTGTTAAGATGTACCAGGAGGATGGCATTGTTGTTGTTGAGTCAGTTCTGACTCATAGTGACCCTGTGTAGGGTGTCCGAGAAGCGGCTGGTGAGTTTGAACTGCCAACCTTGCTATTCAAACAGACTTTGCAGTCCAGCTCATTTACCCACAGCACCACACCAGGACTCTAGAAAGATGGTACCACCACCCAAAGCTGATTGAGCAGGGCTGCCATGCCCAAGGAACAAAAGAACAGGGCTGCACAAAGCCATGGGAGCATTATTGCCATTCCAGTGGGCCTAGAAGATAGAGTTGCTACCCCAAAACTAGGTCTCCACCCAGGATCCATAGGACATGGCCCTTGTTTAGAGTCTGAGGACAGGTCTCAGAGAAGACAGAATTATTTTTAAGCCTTGAGAGTGCTGGGTCTTGGACTTGCTTGGTGCCTGGTGTCCCTTCTTTCTGTCTAATTTGTCCTATTTGTAATGGAAATGCCTACCTTGTGCCTAGTCTACCATTCTGCTTTGGAAACAGATAATGTGTAGTCTCAGTTTCACAGGTTCAGAGATTTTTGGCTATACAAAAAAAAGAGAGGACTTTTGCCCAGGAAGGAACATGCATTTTTTTTTTTTTTTTTGATTTAGATGATTCAGAAGATTACATTTTGGCCTTGGAGAGGATTTAAGACTTTTGGGATTATATTATAGGGTAAATGTATTTTGCATGTGGCAAGGACATGAATTTGAAAGGGTCAAAGGGTAGAATATTATGAATTGAATTATATCCCCCCAAAATATGTGTTGTAAATTCCTAACTTTGATGCTCCTGGTTATAATCCTATTTGGGACTGGGTTGTCTTTGTGATGTTTATGAGGCAGGGTTAGTGTATCTTGAGTTAATCTCTTTTGAGATGTAAAACAGTTTAAACAAGCAAGCTAGCAAGCAGAGATGGGGAAGAGATGTCAAGTCACAGAAAGACAACTCAGGAGCAGAAAGAAGCTCAGGAGCAGAAAGAAGCTCAGAGGAACCAACAGAAAGAGCAATGCTCCTGTTAGAGGCAGAGGCCTAAATTCAGACAGCTAACCTCCTAAACAGTGACCAAACAAATGTTGATAAAGCCATCCACTTGTGGTGGTATTTCTATTATAGCAGCACTAGATTATCAAGACACATTGCTTGATAGTTGCCAAATGGTACCCTGAAAACATCCAGACATCCTCAATTGAAAAGCAAGCAGGGTGAGGAGTACCTTGATGAAATCCTTACAAGTAATAACATTCCTTAATGTGCACTATACTGGGAGAAATGGGCAAAAGCAATTCAGTGGGGATCAAGTTACCAGCATCTGGAAGACTAGTGAGGGTTTCCTTTATAGGAATTCTGTGACATGCTATACTTGGAAATAAAAATGAATGCATTTCAAACCCACTTAAAAGTTCCTAGCTTGATTAATCATGATGCTAATGCAGAGGTTCTCTGTGGGGGAAGAGGATATCAGAATAATCCGAGACACTTTTTTCAAAATATACAATGGATGACTCCATGTGATAAGCACTGGACCACAAGGTCCATGATTTCAGCCCGCCAGCTGCTCCGCGGGAGAAAGATGAGACTTTTGTTCCCAAGAAGATTGAAAAGGCCTAGGAAACCTGATGCAGGGTCGCTATGAGTCTGAACTGACTTGAAGGCAGTTAACAACAACTCTCTGCTCATCTCTGGCCAATGGTAGAGAACAAAGAATACACAGAGAGTAGTAATGTGTATATTTCTTAACACTCCCCAGATGGTTCTGCTATGCAGTCCCCAAGTCTCCAGCCCTTCTTCTGCTTGCCCACCACACACTGTTGTATTAGTCTGCTTTCTATAGCAAGCAAAGTGGACACAAGTAATCTGTGGTGATTGAGAACTGTCCAGTGCTCATGGGACCATTTCTAGAAACATTTTCTTGATCTAGTGCTGTTGTTGAGAATACAAAAGAAGTGAGAGCTAAGTACATTGATTTATAAATAAAGAGAATTTATTTTTTAATAAGTTTTATTTTTAATAAATGCTATTTTCTGTAGCATATTTTAAGGAACCCTGGTGTAGTGGGTTATGCTTTTGGGGTGCTAACCTCTAGGGCAACTGTTCAAATCTGCCAGCCACTCAGCAGGAAAGAGATGAGGTTTTCTGCTCCAGTAAAGATTTATAGCCTTGTAGACCCTATACAGGGGGATGAGTAGGAACTGACTTGATGGCACACAACTACCACCACCACCATAGCATATTTTATTACAGGATTAATGTATCTTTTTGTAGAAAATGAAGAAAATCTAAGAAGAAAATTTTGTGTTATATCCATATACAGTGGAACACTGTCAAACGTTAGAAATTGTATTCAAAATAATACATGGTAAAATGCTAACAATACAATATTAAAAAGTGTGACATAAAACTATACAGAAATCCAGTTTTATACTAAACACACAAAAAATGAGTAAGAAGTATACTAAAGTGTTATCACTGATTTGTGGTTGGCAGAAGATGGAATCTTAGTTTTTCTTTGTATTTGTGTATTTTCCAAATATCCTACAATATAAAAATGATTTGTCTAATTTTAAAAATTCAATTTTTAAAAATTTTTAAAGGAGTGAAATGTGAATATATCTGAGATCTTACTTCTTTGAACCAATAGGCCTACTATCTTAGTTGCTCTTATCCTATCTTATGTCCTTGTTGTTGTTGTTAAGTACAGTCGAGTAGTTTCCCACTCACATCAACCCTGCATAGGGTTTCCAAGGCGCAGCTGGTGGGTTGAACCGCCAGCCTTTCGGTCCATTGCTTCTCTTACAGTGCCACATCAGGGCTCCATCTTACATTCTAGAATATAATAATGCTATAAGGAGCTCTGGTAGCATAGTGGTTACGAACCAGGCTGCAAATCTCAGCGTCAGCAGTTCAAAACTACCAGCTGTTCCACAGGAGAAAGATGAGGCTTTCTGCTCCCGTAAAGATTTACAGCCTGGGAAACCCTGTACAGGGTCGCTGTGAGTCGGAACCAACTCCACGGCACATAACAACAACAACAATATATGTGCTTTAAGAATACCACATCATGTATATAAAATTTCTTATTCATCTTAACATGAAATATATTTTGTTTTTTCCTAAGAAAAATAATCACAGTATTATTTAAATCAGTAGGTTGTATGATTTTATTTTTGTTGAGTATAACAACATTTTTTGTTTCTAAAGTAACAGTATAGCTTACATATAACCCTATTTCCTAGTGTGGCACTACTTCTCTAAAGATTTACAGCCTCAGAAACCTTGTACAGGGTCGCTATGGGTCGGAACCGACTCGATGGCACTTAACAACAACAACAAAGTAACAATATAGCTTACATATAACCCTATTTCTTAGTGTGGCACTACTCCTGTAAAGATTTACAGCCTCGGAAACCCTATGCAGGGTCTCTATGAGTCAGAACTGACTCCACAGCACACCACCACCACCACCACCACCACCATTCTTTAGACAAAAAAAGAGACATATATAATAAACATCAATAAAACCTCAACAAAAATTCATAAGTTATGTAAATAAAATACTGAGACAAGAAATTTATCTCAATATATAGTATAACTTAAGTTCATGTGTACTAAAACAGAAGTATGTATTTTTACTTATATATTTGTTTACATTATGTATTACATGTGTATTATAGTCTTAATATATATGCTTTTTCTCTAGAATATCTTGATGGAAAAGAAATTAAAAAAATGGAAAGACAATTCCTAATGAATTGGAAAGCATCCAAAGACGCCAAGAAAATGAGCAAGAAAAGGAACATTCAAAATGAGGATGCAAGCAACTTATACCTAAGTAAGCACGCTGGCATTCATTAGCTGACCATTTCTACTAGGAAAAGGAACATTCTACCCCCCTCAAAAAAGAAAGTCAAGAAATAATGTGTTCTTGTTTACTTTTTCAAAAGCTTTTGTTTTTGTCTTGTTATTTACATGATTATGCATAAAGATAAATATAACTCCTCAGAAATTTTACTTATGACGTTTATGTATAAAAATGGTTATCGCTAACAACAAAAGCCTTGTTTCATTCATGTTGGGTCTGATTCCATCAGATACATATTTTAAGCATAGAGCCATGAGAATGGGGAGAAAATGGTCATTTTATATCTGACAAAAGTCCTTGATATTAGTAAGGTAAATTGTGAAAACTAACTCACATACCAATGTTTAGAAACAATACAAAAATCACATCTTTCCTCAAGATAAAACTGACAGTGTACCAAAAACATACTGAGGCCTATCCTCTACTTACATTCTACCCCCTCCCCAACACCAGCATACATCAATTACATTAAATCCGAGGTTGCATCACAAAGGACACATCAGCCTTTCTTGCCTAATTAATGTGACTTAGTGTGGCACTGTAGGATAAGCTCAGTACTGCAAGGTTGGTTTGAATCACAAGGTCAGTGGTTCAAACTCACCAGTCACTCCTTGGAAAACCTATACTGGGTCACTAGGAGTCAGAATCAACTCTAAGGCACTTAAAAAAACCAACAACAATGTAGTTAAGTGACCTTCCATAATTCTGAAGTCTATAAAGGAACCCTGGATGCACAGTGTTAAAGAGCTTGGCTGCTAATGCAGAGGTTGCTTGTTCTAACCCACCAGCTGCTCTGTGGGAGAAAGATGTGGTGGTCTGCTTCCATAAAGACTTGATGGCGGTGGTGGTATACTGGGGAGTTGGTTCTAACTTATAGCTACCCTATATAGGGCTTCCGAGGCTATAAATCTTTTCTGGAGCAGAAAGCCACATCTTTGCCCATATAATGACTGGTAGATTTATGTTTGTACCCAACTTGTAATCCACTAAGCTGCTAAGACTCCTTGGAAACCATATGGGGCAGTTTGATCCTGTCCAATAGGGACACTAGAACTTGGAATTGACTTAATGGCACTGGGTTTGGTTTTTACAGTCTGTTGTCTATAGCATTGGAATGTGCCTTTTCCACTCTTCTGTAATCGTGTTTGAATGGGGTTGTTAGTTGTTCTGTGCTGTTGGGTGGGTTCTGACTCCATGCACAACAAAACTGAAATCCTGCCTGGTCCTGTACCATCTTCACAACTGTTGTTACATCTGAGCCCATTCTTGTTGCCACTGTGTCAGTCCATCTTGTGGAGGCGTCTTCGTCTCTTTTGCTGACCCTCTACTTTAGCAAGCATAATGTCCTTCTCCAGGAACTGGTCTCTCCAAATAACATGTATGCAGTAGGAGAGATGAAGTCTCACCATTCTTGCTTCTGTGGAGCATTCTGGCTGTGCTTAATTGAAAACAGATTGGTTTGTTCTTCTGGCAGTCCATGGTACTTTTAATATTCTTCTTCAACACCATATTTCAACTGCATCAATTCTTATAGGGTCTTCTTTAGTTACTGTTCAACTTTCACATGCATATAAGACTATTGAAAACACCATGAGTTGGATCAGGTGCACCTTAGTCCTCAGCTGAGATCTTTGATCTTTAAAGAGGTATTTTGCATTAGATTTGCTTAGTACAATACAATATTTCATTTCTTGACTGCTGCTTCTATGAGTGTTGATTATGAATCCAAGAAAAATGAAAAATCGTTTAGTAGAATGGGACTTTCTTACCTGACAACATACTCATTCATGCATCTGTGTTGGCAACATCAGTGTTTTAAGGTCTGCAACTTGTAAAATAGAAAGGAAGTATTTCTCCTCATTTGTTTACCTTGGCTTTGAAGGGCAGAACTTGACCCAGGGAAAGGATTCTAGTATTTAAAATATTTTCAGTAGAACATTAAAGATGCCAAAGCCAAAATGCCAAACCCATTGCCATGAAGTCGATTCTGACTCATAGTGACCCTATGTAGAGTTTCTAAGACTATAAATAGACAAACAGGAATGGACAACCTTATCCTTCTTCCATGGGTGAATGATAGGTTTGAACTGTTGACTTGTGGTTGGAGAATTTCACAGCAATCCTCATGGAAATTTGGAGCCTATTTTAAAAGTAGTGTAGTTTTCTTCATCTGAAAGATTTCAAATATTGTTTCTAATTTGGGGGGCAATTCATTTAATTAATTAATTTTTAACATCTCAAACATAGTTCAACAAAATAATCATTATAACTTAATGCCTTGCCATTTAGAATTTTTAAAGTACTGTGCCATTTAATTTTCTCAATTACATTCTTAGTAATTTCTTTATAATCTAGTTGTATCCCCTATTCAAGATTCAACGATCTTTAAATTTAAAGATTAATTCTTTAAGTGTAAGCATTCAATCTCTAAAGTAATTAAGAATATTATAGTACAGATGTATCATTTTATTCTTTATTGTAGGTTCTGTTATGCTAATTGATCATTTATAAGGGAAAGAACTTGGGCCTAGGAAGTAAAGAGGAGGGGGTGAGAGATATTTCTGCACACTATTGCATTTAATGGAGTCCTGGTGTGGCTCTGTGGGTTAATGTGCTGGGCTACAAAGTCAGTTTGAACCACAAGGTCAAAGGTTCAAGTTCACGAGCTGCTCCTCAGAAACGTTATACAGGATCGCTACAGGTCGGAACTGACTCAATGGCACTTAACAACAACATTGCATTTAAGCCTTACAACCTGCCTGGGGAGGGGAATAATTATTATATCCATTTTGCTGATGAGATAGCTAAAGTGAAAAAATGAAGTAATTTGAATATGGTCACAAGTGTGTGTGTGTATATGTATTTATATATGTTGTTAAGTTCCATTGAGTCAGTTCTGACTCGTAGGGACCCTGTATAGGATTTCTGAGGAGTGGCTGGTAGGTTTGACTTGCTGACCTTGTTAACAGTTCAGTGCACTTCCTATAGCACCATTCCACCAGGACTCTCTCTGTCTGTATATATATATATATATATATATATATATGTGTGTGTGTGTGTGTGTGTGTATAAAATATGTATATATATGTGTGTATGCTGTTAAGTTCCGTCGACTCTTTTCCAACCCATAGTGATCTGGTAAAGGGTTTCCAAGGAGCAGCTGATGAGTTTGAACCTCCAACCTTGCAGTTCAAACAGGCCTTGCAGTCCAGTGCATTAACCCACAGCACCATACCTTACATTAGATTGCAAGGTCAGTTTGAACCACTAGGTCGGTGGTTCAAGCTCAGCAGCCGCTCCTCAGAAACCCTATGGAGGGTCACTCTGAGTCAGAACTGATTCAATGGCACTTTGGCTTTTAGTCAACATTTCAGTGCTGATTGGCTGAATTATGCTGGACTATAAGAACATGGTATCTACGGTTAAAGCGTTTAGTTGCTAACAGAAAGGTTGGCAGTTTGAATACTGGCAATCTTATTCTGAAAAATCAGCCACTGAAAACCCTCTGATACATAAAGGGTCTCCATAAGTTAGAATCTGCTGGATGGTAACTAGTCTTTTGAAAAATAGATATAAGTACAATAAAGTCTGCTTTACTTAGAAATTCACTTTGGTTTGGTGGGAATTTAGGAAAGTTTGAAGATATGTTCAAATGAGATGTATATATAAATTTTTTTTGTAAATAAAAACACCCTACGGAGAAAAATTATAATAAACTTTTAATTATGTTCATTTAAATATATAATAATTATACATAATTTAGGAGCTCTGGTAGCGTAGTGATTATGAATCGGGCTGCGAACCGCAAGGTCAGCAGTTTGAAACTACCAGCTGCTCCACGGGAGAAAGATGAGGCATTCTGCTCCTGTAAAGATTTACAGCCTCGGAAACCCTGTGCAGGGTTGCTATGAGTCGGAACTGACTCCACGGCACACAACAACAACAACATAAATAATTTAAATATAATAGTATAAATATTAAAAGGAGTACAACAGAGTTGTATTCTTTCACCTTACTTATTCAACTTATATGGGCTACTTAACAACAACATATGAAGAAGCACAAGGCATCATTATTAGAGGAAGATTCATTAATAACCTGAGCATGGAGATTATACAACCTTGCTTGCCTAAAGTGCAGACAACTTGAAGCACTTACTGATGAAGGGAAAAGACTACAACCTTCAGTATGGATTACACCTGAACATAAAGGAAATGAAAATCCTTACAACTGGACTAATAATCACGATAAATGGTGAAGAAGTTTAAATTGTTGAGGATTTCATTCTTCTTGAATCAACAATCATGGAAGCAGCAATCAAGAAATCAAACACCTTATTGCAGACCTGGTGTAGCACTGACGCGGGCAAGGTCAGTTTGAACCACAAGGTGGGTTCAAGCTCACCAGCTGCTCCTTGGAACCCTATACAGGGTCGCTATGAGTCGGAAATGACTCAATGGCACCTAACAACAACAACATTGCACTTGGGCAAACTTGCTATACTGGGCCTCTCTAAAGTGCTAATGTCCTGGTATGACGCTGTGGGTTAATGCACTGGATTGCAAAGTCGGTTTGAACCTCAAGGTCGGCACTTAAAGCTCACCAGCTGCTCCTCAGAAACCCTATACAGGGTCACTATGAGTCAGAACTGACTTGATGGCACTTAACAACAATAACAAAGTGCTAAAAAGCAAAGATGTCACCTTGAGAACTAAGGTGTGTCTGACCCAAGCTAGGATCTCTTTCATTGTCTCATATGCATGTGAAGGAAGCAGTGGCTCCATAGGATAAGCACTAGACTGCGAACCACAAAGTCCGCAGTTCGAGGCGCCAGCCACTCCTCAGCAGAAGATGAGAATTTCTGTTCCAGAGATTTTTAAAGCCAGAGGTTAACAACAACAAATGCATGTGAAAGCTGGACAAGGAAAATGAAGACTGAAGAATCGACTCATACAAATTATGGTACTGGCGAACATAACTGAATATACCATGGACTGCCGGAGTCTTAGTATGGTGTTGTGGGATAAAGTACTGGACGACAAGGTCGATTTGAACCACAGGATCAGTGGCTCAAACTCATCAGTCGTTCAGGGGAAACCCAATACAGGGTCGCTAATGAATTGGAACTGACTCAAAGATACTTAACAACAACAAAAACAATGACAACCAGAAAAATGCAAATATGTCTTGGAGGAAATACAGTCACAAAGCAAGGATGGCAAGTACATCCTGCTTACTTTAGATATATCATCCAGAGAGAGCAATCTGGGAGAAAGACGTTATGCTTAGTAGAGGGTCAGATCTAACAAGGAAGACCCTCCACAGATGGGTGGCACAGTGGCTACAATTGGCTCATGTGATGACTGTGAGTATAGCACAGGACCAGACACCGTTTCCTTCTGTTGTGCATAAAATCATTATGACTTGGAGCTGACTCGATGACTCATAACAAGAATAGCAATTCAAATATAAAAGATTATATAAATTGCTACAGTTATATAAGCTGTCTTTAAACTTTTTACATCATTCGTCTCATATATTGTTTGTCCTTTTGTAATTGACTAATTTCATTCAGCATAATGTCCTCCAGGTTCAACCATGTTGTGAGATGTTTCACAGATTCATCATCATTCTGAAATGTTTTGTAGTATTTCATTGTGTGTACGTAACGTTTGTTTAAGCATTGGACTACCAACCACAAGGTCCCTGATTTTAACCCACCAGCTACTCCACAGGAGAAGGATGAGGCTCTCTGCTCCCACAAAGATTTAAAGCCTCAGAAACACTATACAGGGTCACTCGACAGCACTTAACAACAACAACATATATGCATATCTTTCAGCATTTACTTTTTTCGTGCTTTTGTAGGTACATTCATTTATTCATTTGATAAACATTTACTGAGCTCCTTAGATGTGCCCAGATTGTATAGAATAAAACACTCCCCACTCAAAAGGAAATCACTTCTGAAAAGGGAAGAGGGTCTATAAACAGGTAAATGATATGGAATGTGAGTGCTAAAATACAGGTGAGAGCATATTTCATAAACTATGGGCGACAACTCTATCTCCAAACAGTTAAACACTAGAAAAACGTATTGACTCAGAACAGCTATATCAGAGTGGGCACATCCATTTTGTCCACGAAAGTTGACTATAAACTTAACTGCAGAGGTTTTTAGGTATGAGACTCTAATATTTTATCTTGGATTGTAGTTTTAGTATTGGTTTTACTGAGTATCTATTTGGCTTTTGCTTAACTCCATTTCGTAAAATGTATCTTAGATATTCTAATGTTATACTGATGCTATTGTCACAATCTAGTTATTAGTTTCAAAACAGAATGTTCTCAATTCTTTCTATACTACAGATAACTTTGAAACAATGCATCACATAGTTCCTGTTTACTACCCACAGGTGGGTAAGCCAAAATTAGTTTTTTTCTCTGAAATACAAAGATTTCTTCCAAATGGAAATGCTTCTCCAGAAACATCCCAAGAGGATACAAAGACCAATGTTACTGAAGAAATGCGGTAGGTTCTTTCTAATATTCATGCGTCTTATCTCTTGTGGTGTGAGGAGACATCCTCATTGTCAACAACAAGGAAAAGAGGCCCTACATTTGATCTGTTTCCAAGTTCTCGGTTTTCACTCCTTTTTGGGCAACCCCCTCAAAACAAACAAACAAACAAACAAAAACAGACAAAGTTGCAACATTCCTGGTAGACTTGAGTGGTCACAGAGTTGCAATGGGAAGCGTTAGACTAGACACATCCATTGAGATAGGACAAGTGACTACAGGAAGTCCCACAAACAGGTAAAGATGTCTGGGTAATCAGGGATCATATCAAAGGAGCCCAGGAGCAGACAATGAATAACAGTTCTAAAAGTCAGGTGGTCTTTACCTGAGAAGCTCAGTTGATGCCCCAGCCAGTGGGTGACCCAGTGCAGTGAGGGTATCTGGGGGCAGATGGAGGGAGGAACCTGGAGGATCACAAAGAGAGACTGCTGTCTTAACTTGGTGTCCCTGAAGGACACCATATTTTCATTAAATTTTCAAAGGGGTTTATGACCCAAAAAGGCTTAATAATCACTCTCCTAAACTAACCAAAAAGGTTAATGGTTTGAATCCACCCTTAGATGCCTCAGAAGGCAAACCTGGTGATCTGCTTATGAAAGGCCATAACCCTGAAAACACCAGGGGGCAGTTCTACTCTGCTTGCATAGGGTCTCCAGGAGTCTGAACTGACTGGATGGAAACTAACATCATCCGAAACCTTGAGAATATAAATAATTTAGCTCCATATGAATAGGTTCTAAACTACCTGAAGATTGCCATTTAGTTTTAAAAGGATGATATACTCAACATTGAAAGACGAAGCATACCCAAAAAGAACTTCATTTCTCTATAAAACATAAACCCCAAAACCAGGTAGCATTGAGCCAGACCCAGCTCCTGATGACTCTGTGTGTTACAAAGCATCACTGCACTTCATAGAAGTTTCACGGTTATGACTCTTCAGAAACTCATAATCTAGGCCTTTCTTTCAAGACACCTCTGGGCAGGTTGGAATTTCCAACTTTTCAATGAGCAGTTCAGCACTTTAACGTTTGCCCCTGATCTCAAAGATCTTGCAACAACCTGTTGCCACCAAGTTGATTTTGACTCATAGTGACCCTGTAGGACACAGTAGAATTACCCCATACAAATTGGACTGCTAGTTTCACGGTCAGCAGTTAAAAACTACCAGTTGTTGCATAGGAGAAAGATGATGCTTTCTGGTCCCATAAAGATTTACAGCCTCAGAAACCCTGTACAGGGTCACTATGGGTTGGAACTGACTCCATGGCATATAACAACAATCTTTCCAGAAACAGATTGCCACATTTCTCTCCTGCAGAATGTCTAGCAGATCGGAACTGCCAACTTTTCAGCTAACACTTGAGTGCTTAACCACTGTGCCACCATGGCTCCTTTGCAACAGAAGTCTTGTTAAGTGCCCTCCAGTCCACTCCAACTCATAGGGACCTTGTACAGTGTTTCTGAGGAAAGGATAGTGGGTTTAAACTGCCAAGCTTGCAATTAGCAGTCCAGTGCTTACCCTACAGCACCACACCAGGACTCCTTGCAGCAAACTAGTTGGGTGTCAAATGTAAGAGTGCTGCATTGTGTGATAAGTGCTAAGGGTGTAATAAACCAGATTCTAAAACATCCTATCAATTTTTTATTCAATTTATTTTTTCACTGATATTATGATTAATGCTCTATTGATCTTTCCAGTCATACCATACTAATCATTACAATGTGATGAAAGACAATAGCATATTTTATTGAGAAAGTAATCAGAGACAGTGGACATACTTTGGAATAGGTTAAGTTTCTTTTTCCCAGAAGTGCTGGCTGGAAGGTACATGGGTTTATCACTAAATCAAGGATGAAGCCCACCTGAAAAGCACTGTTGCTCTTTCTTACCCCACACCCTGCAGAATGGCTAAGGTTTGCTGAGATGGAGGCAGAGGGGAGACACGGTCGTCCTGTAAGTCAGAGAAATTCTGTACTGGGGGAAAGGAGAAAGGATATATAGGAGTCCTGATTTTGTCTTGTCTCCCAACCATGTACAATAAAGTAGTGGGTGAGAATCTGATATATTGTTTATGTCCACTGTCAAAGCCATAGCCAGCATGTCCACATTGTTGTTGTTAGGTGTTGTTGAGTCATTTCTGACTAATTGTGACCCTTTGTACAACAGAACAAAACACTGCCTGGTCCTATGCCATCCTTGCAATCTTTGTTTGAGACTATTGTTGTGGTCGCTGTGCCAGTCCATCTCATTGAGGGTCTTCCTCTTGCTTCACTAACCAAGTATGAGGTCCTTTTTCAGAGACAGGTCCCTCCTGATAATATGTCCAAAGTAAGTGAGATAAAGTCTCCCTATGCTCCTTTCTCAGGAGCATTCTGGCTGTACTTCCTCCACAACTGATTTATTTGTTCTTCTTGCAGTCCATGATATATTCAATATTCTTCACCAACGCCATAATTCAAAGGCATCAATCTTCTTATTCATTGTCCAGTTTTCAGATGCATAAGAGATGATTGACAATATTATGGCTTGCGTAAAGTGCACCTCAGTCCTCAAAGAGATAGCTTTGCTTTTGAACACTTTAAAGAGATGTCTTGCAGCAGATCTGCCCAATGCTTTCTTGATTGCTGCCTCCGTGAGCGTGGATTGTGAATCCAAGTAAAATGAAATCCTTGACAGATTTAATCTTTTCTCCATTTATTATGATGTTGCTTATTGGTCCAGTTGTGAGAATTTTTGTTTTCTTTATATTAATGTATAATCTTTGTCTTTGATCTTCATCACTAAGTGCTACAAGTAAGTGTTTCAAGTCCTCTTTACTTTCAGCAAGCAAAGTTGTGTTATCTGCATATCACAGGTTTTTAATGAGTTTTCCTAATCCTGAAAACATATTCTTCTTCATGTAGTCCAGTTTCTCAGATTATTTGCTCAGCATACAGACTGAATAACTATAATGAAAGCCCTGACACATACCCACCCTGATTTTCAACCATGCAGTATCCCCTGTTTCGTTCAAAGTACTGCCTCTTCGTGTATATACAGATTCCACATGAGCACAATGAATCATTCAGGAACTCCCATTATCCACAATGTTATCTATACTTTGTTATGATCCATGCAGTCAAGTGCCTTTGCATAGTCAACAAAACACAAGTAAACAGCCAAGATCCATTTGTCATCAATAATGTTATCCCTTGTTCCACATCTTCTTCTGAGTCCAGCTAGAATTTCTGTCATATTGCTGCAATCTTTTTTTTTCACTTATCTTCAGCAAAATTTTACTTGCATGTGATATTAATGATATTGTTCAATAATTCTGCATTCTTTTGGATCATCTGTTTTCAAAAGGGCATAAATATGAATGTCTTCCAGTCAGTTGGCCTGGTAGCTTATCTTCTAAATTTGTTGCCTGAAATGAGTAAGTGCTTCCAGTAGTGTATCCCTTTGTTGAAAGATCTCAATTGGTATTCCATCAATTCCTGAGTCTTGTTTTTCATCAGTGCCTTTAGTGAAGCTTTTTTTAACACCATTGGTTCTTGATTATATACTACCACCTGAAATGATTGAACATTGACCAGTTCTTTATGGTACTGTGACTCTTTGTATTCCTTCTAACTTCTTTTGATGCTTCCTGCTGTTTGATGCAAAATACTGTTCAGTATTTTCCTGTTGCTGTTGTTATGTGCCGTCAATGACTGGTGGATTTGAACCACTGATCTTGTGGTTAGCAGTCCAGTGTTTATCCTATAGCGTCATACCAGGACTCAATTTTGCCCATTGTTGTTGTTGTTAAGTACCATCAAATTGGTTCTTACTCAGAGCCACCCTGTGGTTTTGCTCATAGAATCCTTCAATGTTTCAGTTTAAGGATTGAATTTTTTTCTTCAGTTCTTTCAACTTGAGAATGCCTAGCATGTTCTTCCTTATTGGTTTTCCAACTCTAGGTCTTTGTACATTTCTTTATAATACTTCACTTGGTGTTCTCGACTGCCCTTTGAAATCTGTTCAGTTCTTTCGCTTCATTTTTTTTCCCCATTTACTTTAGCTTTCTGCATCTAGGAGCTAGTTTCAGAATCTCTTCTGACATCTATTTTGGCCTTTTCTTTCTTTCCTGTCTTTTAATGACCCTTTGATTTCCTCATGTATGATGTTCTTGTGTCATCTGGTCTTTGATCATTAATGTACAATGCATCAAATCTATTCTTGAACTGGTCTCTAAATTCAGGCGGAATATATTCAAGATCATATTTTGAATCTCGTGGACTTGTTTTAATTTTTTTCAGCTTCAACTTAAATTTGCATAGCATAGTCTATTCTGCAGTTGGCCCCTGGCCTTGTTCTGATGGATGATTCTGAATTTCTCTATCATTTCTTTCCAAAAATGTAATTGATTCCATCCAATGAAGTCTACGTATATAGCCACCATTTATGTGTAGAAAAAAGGTATTTGCAGCCAATAAGTTATTGGTTTTGCAAAATTCTATCATTCAATCTCTGATGTTATCTCTATTACCAAGTGTAAAAAAATCTTCAATTTTTTCATCTTTAGAATTAATGGTTGGTACATACATTTGAATAATAGGCATCACTAGTCTTCCTTGTTGTGTGCTATTGAGTAGGTTCTGAATCGTAACCACCTTGTATAGGGTTTCTAAGAGCAGCTGGTGGATCTTCCTTGTAGTTATATGGATTTTATCCTGATGTGGCACTGTAGGATCAGCACTGAACTGCAAACCACAAGATTGGTACCTGCTGCTCCTTGGAAACCACCTGCTGCTCCTTGGAAACCCTATACAGGGTCACTATGAGTTGGAACTGACTCAACAACACTTAACAACAACAACTGTGTTGTAATTCGGAATATATCTTGAAATGTTCTTTTTTATGATGAAGGTGACACTATTCCTTTTCAATTTGTCAGTCCCGGCATAGTAGACGATTGTTCAATTCAG